ACATTTTATAAAACGTTAAATGTTTGAAGGAAATAATTTTCATTATTATGTTCAATAAAATGCCATATGCAACGGTAAAAATAACTTACAATAATAATGCTCCAACGGTGACGYWAAGTCCAATTTGTTATTATCAAAAAATAAATAAAAAAATAAAAAAAATACTAACAGATTTCATTGTACAAATTATATTCATAAATCACATTTTACGAGTACTCCTAAAGTCACACGCGATCAACGTAGTTGTGTCATGTTTAGGTACATGTCAGCACGTGTACCAAAGCTCTGAAAATGGGTAACACAACAATGTGTCTATGTCATGTAATATGGGGTTTATCGTAACTCCCATTTAAAGTGAAATAAGCGAAGAACCTTCAGTTTTGGTATAATTTATATGATTAATTTCTATAATCGGATATAATCTGCAAATTGCAGTGCTGGATTCTCAGATCATATAGGTACTATGGGCAGATTTATACATCAGTGGAATTCAAAATATTTTTTGATTGGTTATCAACATTTCGGCCACCTGTGGAAAAATATTACCCACATATATCTTTAATTTTACCACTCAATAATGAAAATAGGCATTTAAAAAAAAAAAATAATAACTGACTAATTTTGATAAACTAAACAATGTCCATTAAATAATTTTACTAAAATTCTTATCCATTACAAAAACAAAAAAAAGAACAAAAATGAATTAATATCTGTATTTTTCATATGATTTAGAAAAATATATTCATAATAAATTATAAAAAATAAACCAACTAAAAAAATTTTTATTTGATGCTCAGTTTAAAAAATTTGAACTACAAAAATGTACAGTGGTAGATGGAAGCTTTATTGGAATATAATTCAACAAAATCCAAAAATATTTTCTACTGCATGCAATACAGTATAATGTTGTATTAAATAATATTCATATTGACTTTTGTTCCGTTAATGGAATGACGTGTAATAAAACAAAATTAAAAAAATGGTTTTCCATTTTCACGTGGCCCTCATAACCGACGGAGCACATAGGTGGGTAATTYGACTAATGGGAAATCCGGTACTCATTTTAATATAATGTATTTAATATGTTAAAATAAATGAAACTTAACAATACGTTAGGGTGACCCGTATTATTGTCACTTTTGTTATTTGCGGTCCATTGTCTGCGTTTAAAAGTTTTTTCTCTTATTTTTTCYACAAAACGATATTATACGTTTTGTAGTACGAAATTATAAACGGTCGAAATGTTCAGCTACGTAAACTTTTCCATGAGGATGCGATACATTCATCTGAATAATAATATTATAATATGTATAGAACTACGCACAAAACACAATTCCTTGCCGTAGACTTCTGTAGCAGTATAAATTGTTGTTCACAATAGATTCTGTGTAGCTATGGTACATGAATAAAATTACTAACGACATGTAAAGCGCCGACGTGTGCAAATTATATTATCTTATCTTTTTTATCGTTTTTTTTCTTCTTATAAATCGTGTTTCACTAGAGATTGACATCATAATAGCATATTATAATAGCTAATGGACGGGCCAAGTGGTACGATAATCAGGGTCAACACGTACGTGCGAGAGTGGTGGATTTAATATACGTGCCTCTCAATGGATCTCGAAAGTGTRCACTGTCGCTTTTGAACAGCACCCATTGACTGACATATTAAGATAATAAAATGTAGAAACTGATAGCTGTTAAACAACATTTTGAAAAAAAAATCTCATAATAAAATTTAAGTAGGTACCTACCGATAAAATCGTTAGACTCATTGAAATTATAGAATATAATAAATTTGGAATTTCATTTCCCGTTAAATCACTGATAACGTTCCTATTATAAAATGTCACCATAGGAGCATTTCAAATTAAAATAATGTAAAATAATTTCTTACGGACCATAAAAATAAAAATTTTTTATTTAAATAACTCATCATAATATATTGGCTTAGTTGAATTCATTTAGTATTCAAATTTAAAAGTAT